GGTATCATGCCAATTTTCAAAACATTCAGAATTTGAAATATTTCAAGTTAATATAGACCATTTATAAAGTGTTTCTCTGCCCTAGTTTTATACTAAGTGTTTGGCAAGTATGATTTCAGTTGATCATCTCAGCAAATGAATGATGTATTTGCTATATAACAGTATCATAATAATGCATTGGGGAAATCAAGAAACTTAGATATGAACAAGAGAGATGAGTTTTGAACAAAGATAAGAACCTAGTCTTAACTGATATGCGATATAGCTTTGATATCAAATGAAAATTAAGATAGTACAATCTGACCACTAGAATGTCCATCTGGCTTTTCCAGGAGGCTATTTTGCACAAGGCCTATATAGTCTGTAGTAAAGCACAACAGTTCAAGGCTCTGGGCTGTACAGTCTCCTCTAGGGTTCACCACAGTCATCATGATATTTTGCAATCAGAATATCATCCCTGGAAAACAAAGTCTGCAAGATTATTTTGGGCTTCAAATTTCTTTTCTGTGTTCTGTTACCAACTTTTGTTTGGTTTCTGATGTGTGAGGATAGTCAGTCACTACTAATAAGCACTAAGGACCAAGACTGCTCTTAACATTAGCATAAACTCTCTTTGGTACTCATCAGATGAGTACCAAAATGAATAATATAAAGACTGTGGACGAACTAGGAAGAGTAAATAAAGTCTAAGAAAAAGAAAGTGTGGCTACTGTTAGGAATATGACCAGTAAGAAATGAACCCAAAATGGAGCCGAATATAACTTAAACCAGGAAAACAAAATGGAAGCCACAGCCATGTTGTCCTCAACTTCAAGACATTGTAAGTTAGGTAAAGGTGTCAGAGCTTCTCAGAAATTAATCTATTAGACACACCTTATTCTACATTATGCTATGAGTTTAAAAGGACAATAGGAAAGACCAGGGCAGAGTCCATACAAGTCTGTGAAGACTATAGATAACCTTCAGAAGGGAGCAAAGTATCAAGCAAGAAGTAATGAAAGTTTCTAGCCTTCCTTTCTGAAGTTTCTTCTTGTCTGATGAAGAAAGGATTAAACTGTGATTTTGACATCAGTTTTTGCTGTTCGATCTTTGTGGCTACATTTCTTTTTGTTTAATTATTTGTTAGTCTTTCAGATTGCTCAAGATTGATTGCTGGTAGCTTTCTTTGTATCTGAAATTTACAAGTATAAAATGTCGACATCCAATAAAATATTTATATTAAAACCAGAGAGGGATAATTAAAAATTCAACTTCTTTATAAAGACAGACACAGACATGGATGTTGACATAGATAAAGAACTGCAAAACCAGTTTTAGAATTGTCTGTATTTTTTTCTCCATTAAAGAAATGGTGTCATTGGGAAATAAATATAAATTAATAGAAGATTAGTGCTATCTTAGTTGCTATTTTAGAACCTTACTTGTGATTAGAGTCCTAAACATCTGCTAGTGTGTGAAAGACATTTTAAAATCTTCCTAATCTATCTGTTACCTAGCACAAATATTTTCTAGTAAGAGAGATAGCAAAGAAAATAACAACAAATAGGCTAAAATAGAACGTGTTAGTATATCAAAAGGTAGTGGAGCCAGTCATGATTATATGTTGTGTATACTCAATGTATTTGAGTTACAGTATGTCCATGTTTATACTTATGTAATCCTTCTTAGGCATCTTATGTATAGCTCCTAAGTGTTAGCAAAGTGGATATCATCTATATATTTATATATTTAACCTTTTTATGAAGTATAAGAAAGAACTACACTTTGGTTCTGGTTTTAATTGTATTTCTTTTTTATTCCTTTACCTTGGAGGTCAAGACATTTTTATGACAGAAGAACAGAAGAAATACTATAATGCAATGAAGAAGCTGGGGTCTAAGAAACCACAAAAACCAATTCCAAGGCCAGGGGTAAATACAAATACACACACACACACACACACACACACACATACACACACACACACACACACACACACACATCTTCAATATTCATTCTCCTAACCATGATCATGTCCTAAATTTGTAACATATTTTTATTTTTTTTTCATACAATGTATTTTATCATGACTTTCCCCTCTCTCAACTCCTCCCAGAACCTTTGTATGCTTAGAATCTTATTCAGCATTTTGTCTCACTTTTGGGTTTTTTTGCAGAACAAATTCCAAGGATGTATATTCGACTTAGTGACAAACCAAGCTTTTGATATCACCATCATGGTTCTTATATGCCTCAACATGGTAACCATGATGGTAGAAAAAGAGGGACAAACTGCGTACATGGATTATGTTTTGTACTGGATCAACGTGGTCTTCATTATCCTGTTCACTGGGGAGTGTGTGCTGAAGCTGATCTCCCTCAGGCATTACTACTTCACTGTGGGATGGAACATTTTTGATTTCGTGGTAGTGATCCTCTCCATTGTAGGTAAGGCCATTTGTTAATCAAATCTTAATTTCGGATACAGTCCACATGTGTTCTAAGAAGTGTCTGCGTGTTCGAGATTCGTTTTACTGTCAAGTGAATTACTAGCATGATAGAAGGAAGGAGATTTAGAAGGAAAGCAAAGTTCTGTGCCAGAATTACCAAGTTCAAACCCCAGCTCTGAAAGCCAAAGGTTTGGGTCTGTCATAAAGAATTCCCATTGAGACTGGTTTCCAAATCTGCCTCAAGAAACCTGATTACAAACATCTATTCATAGGTGTATCTTAGAAGCCAATGAAGAATGTGCAATTATTTTTAGTTTTAGCAGGGTCAAGGCTAATTGATACGGATGCCAGCTTGCTTTTGAAATTCATCCTGGACTTAAAATGTCAAAAAATTCATGTTTCATCTCTTATAATTGAATCAGTCTATCAAATTCTGTTATTTATCATCTAGAAGCTGTGTATTTGTAGCACAGACACTATTTATATGTTTTTTTATTTCACTATCATCTCTTTTCTGTTATCTTTATTTCCAAAAGCCTAATGTCTTAAGGTTACATTTAATTTTTAACATTGAAATTTATTGATGGAAGAAACAGCTGGATAAAATGCACAGCAAATCAAACAAGGCCAAAAGTATCTAAAGGTTATATAATCCAGAACCACAATTTAAAAAAAAAATGCCAAATGACTTAAATCCAGTTTTCAAAGAATCTTGTCACCAGATGTGATATTTCCAGGCAGATTAAAATTCAAGTAGCAATTTCATAGTGACAAGATAAAGTGTAATGATGGGAACTTTCCCATTCAGTCAGGACAATGAAAGAGCATTATCCTAGCAATACTATCTAGAGGTTTAAATAAGAAAACAAGGAGGTATATGCATTAAAACCCAGGAGTCATTCATTTTATCCTCATTACATCATGGCTCACTTCTAAAGGGAAAGAGTTGACTATGGCCATGCATACTTATCCGCCATTCCAGCATTCAGGATGCTGTGGCACTGCACAACTATCTGTAATCCCAGCATTAAGGAGACTTTACTGGAAGGCTATGGAGTCCCAGATCATCCTAGGATACCTAGTTAGACAATATCAAACTTTAAAAATAATAATTAATAATAATAATAAATCAGTTGGAGTTCAGAAAAGTCAAATTATAAATTGCCTATCAACATTGATAATTTTCTGAAATGTTGACCAAAAATAGAAAACATATTTGAAGAAAAATTTAATTCAAACATATAATAAAAATAAGCTTAAAAATCTAGTGATAAATTTACCATATAATGTATCAGATGTCCATGAAAAAGAGTGAAGGATAAAAATAAAAGCTGAAATAATTGAATGCTTATCTTATGCTTGCTTCCAAAGGCCTTCATTGAAATTAAGACTTTCTGAAGATTTGTTAACTTTTATTCATATGTATGTGTGTATCTGTGTGCATGTATTTCAAGTGTCTGAGCTCCCACAGAAGCCAGAAAGAGGGTGTTAGAGCCCTTAGAACTGAAGTTACAGGCTGTTGTGAGTCACAAAATACAGGGCCTGGGAAGAGAACTCAGATCCTCTGCAAAAGCCCCAAGAACCCTTAACCTCTGAGAGACCTCTCCAGCCTCAGGAACCACCTTTCATGGAAATAAATCTTTAATTTCAATAAAACTATCAGAGAAACTTTTTGTATGGCGGTGGTTATTGACTGAAAATACAGCAGTGAGGGAACTGCAACAGTGTGTGAAAATAAAGATTCAAAGGATCCCGAGAAACTAAACACTAAATGTTAATACACAATAGGAATTTATGCAGTTTGATAGCCATAAAAATCAAACGATGATAAAACATGGAGTGAGACCAACCACTAATCCAAGCACAAGGGATGCACAGGCAAGCAGATCTCTGTGAGTTCCAAGCCAACCGGGTTTACATAGCAAATTCTAATCTCCTTCCAAGGGCAAGGGTTACATAGTCAGACCCTATCTCAAAACAAAAAAAGAAAAGAAAAGAAAAAAGAAAAAGAAAGAAAGAAGGAAAAGAAAGAAAAGAAAAAAGTTGTTTAAAATTAGAAAATTTTATTACTTACACATATATAGTCTAGATGGATGGATGGATGGATGGATGGATGGATGGATGGAGATAGATAGATAGATAGATAGATAGATAGATAGATAGATAGATAGATAGGGATTCTCTTTTGTTTTATTAGTAGAATTTAGTTTACTCATAGCTTTAGCACTGAGCTCCATTCTAGCCCTGGAAATAAATTTTTGAGCATGAGCAAGCATAACTTTTTCTATTCACAACACAAACTTTAGTCTCAAGAGAATGAAAAAAAATCTTACCAGCTAAAATAGAGAAGAGTGTGTCAATGAATTTAGCTAAGATGAAAAAAAAGTCACAAGTACAATAAAATATCGAATCAAGATAGAATAGCAATTCTGAATTCATCAAATATTGAATAAAGCTATTTAGATTCCTGATACTGTGCCACATGGATCTTTAAACATTTTCTGTCTGTTTTTCCCTCCAATACAGGAATGTTTCTAGCTGAGATGATAGAGAAGTATTTCGTGTCCCCTACCCTGTTCCGAGTCATACGCCTGGCCAGGATTGGACGAATCCTACGCCTGATCAAAGGCGCCAAGGGGATCCGCACACTGCTCTTTGCTCTGATGATGTCCCTTCCTGCCCTGTTCAACATCGGCCTCCTGCTTTTCCTGGTCATGTTCATCTATGCCATCTTTGGGATGTCCAACTTTGCCTATGTTAAAAAGGAAGCTGGAATTAATGACATGTTCAACTTTGAGACCTTTGGCAACAGCATGATCTGCCTGTTCCAAATCACCACCTCTGCAGGCTGGGATGGACTTCTGGCCCCCATCCTCAACAGCGCACCTCCTGATTGTGACCCAAAAAAAGTCCACCCAGGAAGTTCAGTGGAAGGGGACTGTGGAAATCCATCTGTGGGGATTTTCTACTTTGTCAGCTACATCATCATATCCTTCCTCGTTGTGGTGAACATGTACATCGCTGTCATCCTGGAAAACTTCAGCGTTGCCACTGAAGAAAGTACTGAGCCCCTGAGTGAGGACGACTTTGAGATGTTCTACGAGGTCTGGGAGAAGTTCGACCCTGATGCCACTCAGTTCATAGAGTTCTGCAAGCTCTCTGACTTTGCAGCTGCCCTAGATCCTCCCCTCCTCATCGCAAAGCCAAACAAAGTCCAGCTCATTGCCATGGACCTGCCCATGGTGAGTGGAGACCGCATCCACTGCCTGGACATCTTATTTGCTTTTACAAAGCGGGTCCTGGGTGAGAGCGGAGAGATGGATTCTCTTCGTTCACAGATGGAAGAAAGGTTTATGTCAGCCAATCCTTCTAAAGTGTCCTACGAACCCATCACAACCACATTGAAGCGAAAACAAGAGGATGTATCTGCGACTGTCATTCAGCGTGCTTACAGACGGTACCGCCTTAGGCAAAACGTCAAGAATATATCAAGTATATACATAAAAGATGGAGATAGAGATGATGATTTGCCCAATAAAGAAGATATAGTTTTTGATAATGTTAATGAGAACTCAAGTCCAGAAAAGACAGATGCAACCGCCTCTACCATCTCTCCACCTTCCTATGACAGTGTCACAAAGCCAGATCAAGAGAAATATGAAACAGACAAAACAGAGAAGGAAGACAAAGAGAAAGATGAAAGCAGGAAATAGAACTTTGGGTTTGATACACTGTTACAGCCTGTGAAGGTGACTCACTCGTGTTAATAAGACTCTTCTTTGGAGGTCTATGCCAAACTCTTTTTATCAAAATATTCGCAAAGGCAGCAAGCCACTAGCTCCAATCCAATGAAACAGAAAGCAGCATTTACACATGGCTATTTTTTGTGTTGGTAAATGATTCTTTAATAGTTGTGAGTGTAACTCTGCAGGGAATAATCATTACTGCAATCAAGGGTGATTGAATCATTTTAAAAAATCAGAAATCCATGTAGAACATTTTCTCATTTGCCTCCACTTTTTTCTCTAGATTCTAAGTAAATGTGTACCCATGTGAGTATAAAAATTCAGACATACACGCATACATTCCCACATAGGATTAACTATGATTTGAAATTCGATGTAAATATTTCACCTGTGTTTTGCAATGAAATTCCTTCTAAAAGAAATGGGAATAAGTGATGAAGGTTGTGTCAACACATCTTATCATTAGGGAGTCAGAATCTTTACCCATAAAGAGTTCAGTTTATATTTTGAGGTGCTGAAACTTATCCTCCATTGCATCAAAAGCAATTTATAGGTATCTATAAAATGTCTTGGGATTGAAAAATATATGTAGGCTGTTTATTTAAGAAATCACTTTCATTCATATAGATTAGAATTCTCCTTGATTTATGGACCTCTTTGGCATTTTTGTGCTGACATAATTCTCCCACAAAATTGCTTAACTGGAACTTCGGACACGTATCACAGAGAACAGCTACCCAGTCTTATGCCCCACTCTGTTCATACAATAACCACAGACCCTGAAACACTATTTGAAATATAAGTATCAGATTTCTCCATATAAACATATGAATATTATTAACAGAAAAATTAATTTACAGCATCTTATTTACTCATATTTATCCAATCTAGTTTGCCCGATGAGACAGCTCATGACTCACCTCTAAAAGCCAGTTGCCACATTTGTCTTCTTATGTAATTTTGGTTTGTCATACTTTATCTCTAAGCAAATTTCATGTTTACTTTTTTTAATGAGAATTATCCCGAAACGCAATTAGCTACTTGATACTATAGCACTTGTTTGAGCAGATGATTAGAGCACGGTATGTACTGTAGCTCTTAAATACAGGCCTTACTGTGTTTGGCAGCTTCCCAAGTTACAAGGCACACCAGGCTTTCAATACCTGTTCACCGGGTGTTTAGTATGAATGAAATGGCATTCAAAGAGTGGGTCGCGTTGGCTTGCTTTATTACCGATGGCTCTCCTAAATGGAGAATTAATCCTCTGGAGCACTATTTTTCCCCCTGTAAATAATGTAGATGTCCTTTCCTTCTTAATAGTCTAATCCATGGTGTGAAATATATTTTGATCAGTAAAACAGAGCATTTTGAGATAGTTGCAGTCATCCGGCCAAGGATTAGGAATCTACTTTATGTTTTTAAAGTGCTTGTTAAAAATGAATGACCCTGACACATTCTCTAGTCATTTTATTTCAGCAATATGAAATCTTTCTTCCAACACTTTATCCTCGCAGAAAAGAAAAAAAAGAAAGAAAGAAAGAAAAAGATGGGCCAATGAGCCATACAAGCACAAAGAGGCTTTATTTAGGAGATTCTGAGGGAGAACTTTGAAGTAAATATATAAAACATACTTCATCAGTTTGCCTTTGAAACTAAAAAGGAACACAAAAATATTGATATAATGAGTCATTAAAACATATTCTTCGTTTCTTGCCCAGTTTCAAAGACAGGACTAAACACCCCTAGAGAGAGAAAGAGGCATAGAGGAGAATGACTAATAGAAAGAGGGAGAGAAGAAACAAAGCACTTAGGATAAAAAGAGATAATTAAACAAAACTTGTCCATGTTTTCACTACGTGTTCTGTCCTGCACCCTATAGAAGAGTCTCTTTCCAAATGTTTGTCCTAAGGGAGCTAAGAAATTAAATGCAAGACTGAAGGTTGTTTACATCTATCTTTAATCATTAACGATTTGGGAAGCTACTTTTACATTTCAACGGAAGATGCCAAGCAGTGCTAAGCTAGACAATACAGAGCACTGTGTATCTGTCAAGCAGCTAAAATATGTTTGGACAACTTAATTAGGGAGCTGCACAAAACATTCTATTTGTGACGATTTTAATGCATTCAATTAAGAAATCAGAATTTTTATTATTTCACACCCATAAAAATATAACTATAGTGTCCGTTTTTGTGGATATAGTGCGTGTGGATGTTTGGTATGAATTATCTGTAATTTACTATTAATGTTTTTACAGTGATTGACTTTCCTGTAAATTTAAAATATGTTGGCAACTGGTTCCTCAACACAAATTTTTTAGCATTACAAAAAATGAACAGATATAAAGTTTCTCTTTTTTCTACTTCATGTTGAACATATTTCATTCTGAACTACATAATTTTAAATGTAATACTGTTTTATATGCATATGTGTTTATCTTCAAAATCATTACTTATGACATTTTATCGAATAAAAATGGCATTTGACACTAGGATAGCATTTAGTTAAAACCAAAAACCTTACACTCCATTTCATGTTAATTCGTGTTTGTACTAACTATAAAATGTTACCAAGGAAGCTACTAGTTACTGAAATTATTTTACCTATCGGCATAGAATGGTGACTACCCAGAAAATACGTTATCATTAAATAGAAGAAACCATATGTGACCACAAATCCATGCATGTAGCTTGCGTGAAACAGGAGAATCTTATTTTTCTGTTTTGTCTCTTTTCACTGTGTAAAATGTATAAGAAATCAGTGGGCTATTTCTAAATTCAAATTGTCACAATTTGCAATCATAAATGTTGAGCACGACTTTGTAGAATTTTGATAGTTTTATAAAAGAGTGAAAAACAAATGCATATGTAAATAAAGCAGTCCATACTAGCAGATTCATCAAATGTTAATATGTAAATAAAGCAGCCCATACTAACAGATTCATCGAATGTTAATATGTAAATAAAGCAGCCATACTAGCAGATTTGTCATATGTTAAGGGAAGTAATGAAAAAGAGGCAACTAAATAAAGATGGTCAGTAATTGATCTGGGTTTAGAACTTGTGTTCGGAGCCATTAATTTTTAAGTATATGTTGTCACTATGTTATTAGTTTTCTGAAGAAAGCAATTTTTGAATTGCTCACAGAAAATGAGTAAGTAGCCATGAATATATGAATGCTGTTGAAAAAACCCATAGACCCATGAATGCTCAAAATGTTTGAGTTTGTCAAAAATTACATTGTAGTTATACTTGGTACTTAAAAATTGTTAATATAATCTAAAATAAAAGTCACTAAAAATAAACTTATGTTGTATTTATTTTGTGCCCCAGTGAGAATAGCACTTTTAGGGGTTAAATTCATTGGATCTCTAATAACAGTTGGTATTTTTCCTCTCTCTCTCTCTCTCTCTCTCTCTCTCTCTCTCTCTCTCTCTCTC